CAATACGAAAAGGTCATTTTCAGAAATCTATTATATAACGGTAAACAAATCGGGGCTTAAAATGGACGGACTGTGGTTGTGTTATTCACCCATATTGGATGCAGTTTACTGTGAGCCCTGGTGGCTGTTTTACGTACTTCTGGATGGATAAGCAAGTTCTTGACACACGGAAGCTTGTTATATCAAAGAAATGTGGAAAACGAATAAATGTTTGGATAAAAATTTAGAAAAGAATTTCCGACGAGAGCGTATTTTTTATTCGTAAAGCAGCGATTTTGCTTTGATTATAACTTACCTCTAGGTGGCACAATATACATTGTAGAAATGGCGGTGCGCGGTGAGTTGGTAGAAGGAACTGTTAAAGTATTTTAATAAAATTAAAGTAAAATTATCCTATTGAAGCTTAATCGCTGTATTGATATTATAATGACAATTTTATTTCTATGTGAAGTTAAATCAGTTCTGCAAGTTTAATATCAGTAACGTCAAGGCCTAATTAATGTAAATTGTTCATTAAAAATATTACTAATACTATAGTTGCAGCGTTTGGTAAACCGTAAAGTTAGTTACAACAGTAAAATATATTTCTGTTACATGAATTTTATCTTTCAGTTGTTAGATGTCAATTAAATAATTTTTTATAATAACAAAATTTTAAATTTCTAAAGCTAATTTTCATACATGGAATAAGTCTTAAGTTACCAATAAAATATATACATTTTACAAACAATGCAATGGAAAGACAGTTTTGGAATAATGAATATAGCTTCAGCTTTTGAATTGAAATCACTCGAGAAGTCCAGTAGTTTGTCAAGGATAAGGATAAATAAAATCTCATTCACTTGATGAAAAATAATGACTCGTTGAATGATAATTTTAGTTTAAGAGCTGTATCTGTTGGTGTAGTTGGAACTTGTATAAAGCATTAATACGGTACTTTAACTTGACGAATCGCATGTGTTTACTTGTAACAAGATATTGGTGTGAAGGCTCAAGAAAAAGGTTGACCAATGTTTTTTCCATTGTACTTAGAACTAATAAAAAATGTTAGTAATATTATTTTGATAAGAGCAGACATAGCTTTAAAGTTGAATATTAGTTTTTGAGAATAAAGTGAAGGGATGTTTAATTTTCTTTTTTCTCCTACAAATTTGGCTTTACTAATTGGTTTGAATAAAATGTCAGAACTATTAAAAAAAATTTATCAATATGGAATATTTACAGTAGGATCAAGTAAATTTGAAAATATTTTGCTAGTAATTTGTATTTATTTCATAATTTCAGGTGAAGACAGTAACATTCTTTCTGGAGTAAATAATGTGATAGTGGTTCTCTCAGGCAAAGGAGGTGTTGGCAAAAGTACCGTAGCAACACAGTTGGCACTGTCCTTGAGGAAAGCTGGGAACAAGGTAGTTATAGTTTACTGTAAATACAAAATTAATGTCTGATTGCGTAAAAGTAATTCTCATAAATTGTATATCACTTTCTATTCCATAGCAAGTATTAGGGTTTAATACCTGGGGTGCTCGAGAATTGGTTAATCCTCCTTCACCCCACTCGTGGTATGATGTTTAGGCTTAGTGGGGAAAGAAAAATACACACTCACACCTACATGTAAAATGAAACAAAACCTAAGTTGAAAAGTGTCTGACTGAGCAACAAGGAAACGGAAAGACAACAGCATTAGCCCAAGATGGGCAGACTAACTAGATGAAAAATAACAAATGTCCTTTAATGATCAGGATGATGGAGATCTACAATACAGATAAATCTTTCTAACTATAAATCTTGTTTTGAAAGAGGACTGGCATTAGGTTGTGAATTGATGTTAGTTTGAGAGTAAATGTATTCATTTGTATGTTGCCAACTTTTCATTAATTTTTATACAGAAAGGATCAAGAACTTGGCTGAAGTTAAGTATGTGTGAGCAAGGTCACTAAATATGTGATTTCCTCTTGTCAAAACACCGGACATGATTACATAAGTAGATCAACACACCCCTAACATGAATCCAGTAGTCCTGTTATTGAATACAGGAGTTAGTAATTTGTTTGTTTATTAACATGATTACATAAGTAGATCAACACACCCCTAACATGAATCCAGTAGTCCTGTTGGGGTGTATATTTTGTTCTAATTATCACTATATAAAAGGTCAACTAACCCTTCAGGACACTGGTGTATCTCATGTTCTTCTAAGTTGAGCATACGAGGTATACTAGGTCCACAAAGGTCCACATCAAGTATTCCCACCTGTGATGGTAAACAATCTTTATATATATATACAATGATTAAATATTCCAGATAATACAAACTTTACAATTGTAGTTGCAAACCACTGATTTGGAGTTGGCATCATTTCAAGAAGAAACAAGACAACTTTATTGTGATTAGCCCGTGCGTATTTTGTAAACACAATTATTCCAAAAAGTTAACAAACAAATCTCTAAGATCTATGTTAACCTTTGACAAAATTAAACATTTTCTCCACAATAAATCTCCAAACTCTATGTGGATCTTCAAAGCATCAAGTCACCTAACTGTGTGCAATTGACTGGAGAACTGGAACCTTTGCAATTAATCCCTTATGGCATCATGAAGCTCAACAGTAATAAAAGGATATCGTCTGAGGAGAACTCTATCTCCAACAAGAAGAGGTAGCACCCTCCTCTTTTTAAGGACAGTTTTCCTTAAAACTTTCTTCCCTGTCATCGTTTAATGGCATAAAAACATGCCCTAAAATTCGACATTTATAGCCATGTCTGGTTATCTACTGTTGATGTAATCCACCATCTTTTCAGACCCCATTTGGTAACTTGATCTTCTGCACACTTAAAGACTTGTGAAAACAAAAGGCAAGGCCACATCTCTTGGGCTACTGTTAAACTTTGTGACAGGCTAAAGGCTGTGACTCGAATATTTTCTATCACTTGTGCACAGAGTATGGCACGTATTGTAACTGTTAGACAAATTGATCATTGTTGCGTTTATCTAAAATGCCCAGGCAATACTTGAAAAAAATTATTAAAAAAATTAATAGGATGGGAAACATCACGAGACTGTTACAAATACGTTTTAAAATACAAGAAAACTAGTAAATATGAGGGGGTGGGGCAAGCTGAAACTTCGAATCCACTCCATGTCCTGGTTACCATGATGGCTCAGACAAGGGAAATACAGTCAATTCCAGCTCATTCCATGAAAGTACAAGTTAGTTGACCTTTTATATAGTGATAATTAGAACAAAATATACACCAGTGTCCTGAAGGGTTAGTTGACCTTTTATATAGTGATAATTAGAACAAAATATACACCAGTGTCCTGAAGGGTTAGTTGACCTTTTATATAGTGATAATTAGAACATGAGATACACCAGTGTCCTGAA